GGAAAAAAAGATCACCTTTTGACATTATAATTGTATATTATATATATTAAAAGTTTAACATTTTAATATTTTTGAACAAGAATGATGGATATTTATTTCCCCTTCTCTTTTCCATTCCTCTTTTCCCCATACCTTGCTCAAACCAAGTGATAAGGAATATTAGCCAATTTTATCTATCAACTTGGCACTCTTTGGAATATATAAGACACGATTAAGTATTTCAAAACACTGGATCTAAAAATATACTTAAATTTTTTCTAAAATAATACAATTGAATTTTAATAAAGGAATACAATTATTTAATAATGATAGCTCTAGTATAATAATTAAACGCTTCTCCTAAAATCAGTCATCCACGATTCACCATAATTTACAATAAAATACATTCACATTTCAAAAACCTATACCATTCTCATATTGAAGTGATGAATATTTAAAAATGCTAAAAAGTCACAGCTCTCTCATTTCTAAATCAATAACAGCATTTTCAAACTCAAGAATTTCCTCTACCTCTCCCAAGTGTCCACACACAATTAAGCAAAACAAGAGATGCTCAATTGTGCACTAAACCATCCCATGATATATTACAGAAGACTACCCAGAAATATATATACATTCCTACTGATACCTCTCTTAAAATCACCTTCAAACAAACTGTGACCAAGACTGAGGTAACTAAGTTTAAAGTCTCCTACCAACTCAAAATACTCAAAGGAAAACTTCTGACAGAAAATCATTCAGCAATTTAGTTCACATAATAATTTTTTCATGGCACAAAAAATTAAACTATAAACTGTCTTCAGTATAGTCATATTTTCATTTCTAAAGGCTATTCTAAAACTGGACTGCCTAAAGCTAGTGCTCGGTGGCTCAGACCTGTCCGACTCTGTGGCCCTGCAGACCACAGCCCGCCAGGCTCCTCTGCCATGGGATTCTCCAGGCAAGAACACTGGAGCAGGCTGCCACTTCCGCCTCCAGGGCGTCCTCCCCACCCAGGGATGGAACCGTGTCTCCTGCCTCTCCTGCACTGCAGGCAGACTCTTTACCGCTGAGCCACCAGGGAAGCCTGAAGCTAAACCTGCTAGAAAAATTTATCTTTACAGACTACTTTACAAGTGTGCTTACTATACCATACTTGTGAAATAAAATATTGCCAAGGGTGTGTTAAACCAGTGATTCTTAACTTTGGAAGGCTGTGAACCTCCAGGAGGACAATAAAAGCTGTGAACAGAGAAAATTGCATATTTACAAATAAAAAATATGTATATAATTGTTGTTCAGTCACTAAGTTGTGTCTGACTCTTTGAAGCATACCAAGCTTTCCTGTCCTTCACTATCTCCTGGAATTTGCTGATACTCATGTCCATTGTGTCAATGATGCTATCCAACCATCTCATCCCCTGTCAACCCCCTCTCCTCTTGCCCTCAACCTCTCCCAGCATCAGGGTCTTTTCCAATGAGTCGGCTTTTCGCATCAAGTGGCCAAAGCATTGGAGCTTCAGTGCCAATATCACTGAAGAAGTTCTTGAAGACAATAAGTCAAGTGCCATATCCCAAATATTCTTATAACTACCTTTGTAGAAGATCCTTAGAAATATAGCTACTATTCTCAGGTTATATGTGCAGAAAACAACTAAACCTATAGCTCCTTCATTTCTTAAAATGTACATACAAGTCAATGGAAATTTAATGTGTGCTGCATATTTTGAACACTTTTAAATATGTTTTAAACTTAATTCAATTTTAATTTAAACTTATTTTAAATTTTAAATTAAATTTATTGTAAATTAACTTAAACCTATTTTAATTTAAATAACTTTTGTATAAAGTTTTACTTTTTGCATTAAGACTTTTTTAAAAATATGTTTTTAAAGTGATCAAAACAAGCTTTAAAAGAACTCAATTCACTCAGGATCTATTTTTACTTTGTTCCAGGCATTATGTTTTTTGTTCCTTACAATCTGAGGAAATACAAACTCTTAACATCTACTCAACTTTGCTCAAATATTTTTACATTTTTTGGTCAAAAAATGTATCTAAATATGCATTTTTTCATACATAATGAAAATGGTATTACTCTAGCTTATGTCTGAGTGCCAAAATATTTAAAGTTTCATATTTTTTAGTAAAACAGTAATTTGACATATTTTCAAGGATAATTTCTGGAATAGAAATTGAAGAAAAGAGAAAATGAAACTTTATAACCGAAAATTATCACTAAGTTACACCTACAGAAGACGAGGAGGATTAAAGATCAATTAAATAACCACTAACACTGGGTGTTCATTGGAAGGACTTATGCTGAAGCTGAAACTCCAGTACTTTGGCCACCTCATGCGATGAGTTGATTCATTGGAAAAGACCCTGATGCTAGGAGGGATTGGAGGCAGGAGAAGAAGGGGACGACAGAGGATGAGATGGCTGGATGGCATCACCAACTCGATGAGCATGAGTTTCAGTAAACTCCGGGAGTTGGTGATGGACAGGGAGGCCTGGCGTGCTTCGATTCATGGGGTCGCAAAGAGTCGGACACGACTGAGCGATTGAACTGAACTGAACACAGGTATATGAACTCCTACGACCTTTCTTATTGTACAACCTAAAAGTGAAAATTCCAAGAACCTTTCTTAGATCTTGAAAAAAAATAGTATTTATGGGTAAGAAGTAATGGAAAACACTGAAGGGATAAAATGTTTTGCTGAAAGTACACATTTTTTTTTCCTTTGTTCATCTTCACAGTGTTACGCCATTAACTAAAAAGAGAAAATATAAAGAAATAATAAATGTAAAACCATCATCACTCCAGTATTTTGGAGAATATTCTCATCTAGTTGACTGTCATTTGAATAAAGGACAATTTTTATATAGTCAGTATAAAGAATTCAGGAATACCTTTAATAAAATATACTGACCTATCCCCAATGGTTTCAGACAGTAATTATCAATCCTTTCATTAAAAGAAGTAGAATGACTATTTTAACATTAGAGCTATGCAGAAGAGTTTTAAACTCATTTCATCCTAAACTGTGAAACCCAACTGGGACCAATGAAACACCTACCTACCTATACACAAATTAATACCAACTGGAAAGCTTAAACAAATATCACAGCACCGTAATTAAATGTTTTCAATATCTAAAATTCCCTTTGACATTTTAAATTCATCCAATACTTTAAAAGCCTAACTTTTAGTTTAAATTAGCCTGATCAAAGATGTGAACAAAATGTTTACTTATTAAACAAGGAAAGAGGTGCTGTTAGGTCAAAAAATATTGGTACTTAATTAAGAAAGCCAAAGTTTTCTGACTGGCATATGGATTCCATTAGCACGGGTGTTTTATAAACACTGCTCAGATGTCTGGAGAATCTCTAAGAAAAACTCTACAGCTGACATGTAGCCTATGCTCATGAAAACAATGCAAACACACCTCAATGGGAGAAAGATCACAGTAGCATATTACTTACAAGTAAACTTTAAGGCTACCAGGGATATTCAATTCTGACACTGCTCTCTAGGGAGAAAGGGAAAACGTTTACAATTTTAACTGAATCTGAAAAGAGCCAAATTAGAAGAAAAGGTAAAAAGGCACAAGCAAGGAGGAAGGACTTGCAAGGTGTATCTCAAAGCCCTGCACACAAAACTACCTTAAAAGTCTCACCAGAGAGGGATGCAATTCTTAGCTTACATTTAGTTAATAAAATGATAAAATGCTCATTGGGGGAAAGAAAAAAAATGAGTAGGAAATGAGTGGGAAGGGCAGGAGGGAGAAATAGAGGGAGAGAGGGAAAGGTGAGGGGAAGGAGGTGTTAAAAAAATCCTTGGCAACACAAGGTTACTAAGCCTCTGAATACACTTGATGCTTAACACACTAAACCTGTTCCATAAAGTTATCATTGTTTTCTTTCATTCTTACTCCAAAAAATGGTCCTTGATTTTAGTATCAGTATCAAAGCCAATCATTTAGCACCACTACTGATTAGACTAAGACCTGGAGACAGGACTAGTTCCAAGCTAATCCAGATGGATCTTTTGGCTTCATTTAGCCTGTAATATTTCACTTTGTTCCTGGTTTTGCTTTTTAACATTCAAGACCAAGTCATCAATGGATGATTACCCTTAAAAGTTCTAGAAACATCTGGGTGGGCAGCTCAACCACTGGACAGATTTAAGATAACCCACTCAGCACTTACTATGAATTCAATATAATTCTCATACCTTAAAATTACTTTTCTAATAAAGGTTCACAGCAACAGAAATGGGTAACACTAATTATCTAAGAAAATTTCCATATTTTTACAGGAATGTCTACGCTAGGAAGCATAATGCAAAACCTGCATTAATTTTTTAGATAAAAGAGAGGATCTTGTAAGAAAATAGGGCTACTCTGAACTATGCCTCAAGACCCCTGATGTACAAGTGCATTTCTTCAAATTCCTCCACTGCAATCTTGGGTAAACGTGGAAGAAAAGTGTTGAGATGACCCCTAACCCTTCACACTGCTTTCCTGCCACTGTTTATAATACTTTACTACTACTACAGATTTAAAATCAAACACCCAAAAGGCAATACATCTAAACTTTAATTTAGAATGTATTCTTTTAAAATTTTATCTCAAAAGGAGGACCTTGAAGCACACCAATATTTAAGTTCTGATGCTCTTATTGAAGTTTCTGAGTGAAATAGCATTAACATGCTAATAAAAAATAAGGAAATATTATGATCTAGATATGTTTTCCTCAATAACCATTTTCTCCTTTAAATTTACTTTTGTGCTTTTACACACAAAGTTATGTTTAACTTTTATTCATTAAATTTAAATTCTGCTTTAAAAATTTTAACTACACACTTGGTCTATGGTGCCAAAACCTAGAACATAAAACTCATAATGTGTTCAGATATGAATCGCTGAAGAATACAATTTCAGGGCTGGTAAACTAACAGTAAATGGTGCTTAGAGATTTGCTACCTGGAACTCACTGAAAACAGTTACTCAACTTACCTGGTGCTAATCCAGCAGCAGCAGGAGTCCCCAGGGATGGGTGAGAGAACACTTGAGAGAAGGCAGACGCATGTGACTGGGACGTGTTACTCAGCCTGGAGGTTGATCCTCCTTTGGGAATAAACTCACTTGCAGTAGGATTTGGTGTCTATTTGAAAATCAAATATAGTAAGTTAACACATTTTAAGCCCCCAAAAGACACTGAATTTACTAGGCATTATTCCACAGTGCTCTATTTACCAAGTAAAATATTTTACTGAAAGGATTTACAGTGCTTTTTAGTTTCCATATTTTGGAGTGGGATAATTAAATTTCTTAAAGAAAAAATTTCTTGAAGAAAAATTTTCCATCAAATTTGAAGGTTTTAATCATTTCACCTGGGGAATTTAACTTTGAAACAAGAAAATCTGCCTTTATTGTCAAATGTGCATTATTATCCAACCATCCTAATACTATATTTTAGAGAACTGGGAAGTTACAACTACCTCAAAACTGAGCAAAAAGTTTCAAATTTAATATCTTTAAACCACTTCTACCAGGATAAAGGTCAAAACTGCCTTTATTCCAAAATTAATCACTTCCTCCTTTATAAGCACTTAAGACATCTCCCCAATAATATGGTGCCACTATTTAAATAACAGTAAAGATGAGAAAAACACTTAAATATAAGGCAAACATGAGAGGAATCAAGATATAAGAAAAATATAATAGAGGCCCCAATGTATGCAAGGTATGGCATGTAACTTCTGCTATATTAAAAATATTTTACAATGAGACTGCATGAGATAACTTTCCTCCTAGTTGTACGAAGGCACGTTTTATCTAGTTAAGTGGTGTGGTGCCTATGTCATTAAGAACTACTAGCACACTATGAAACTGTAACTCAAATCCATAAATGGTCTATATTACATCCATCTGAAACAAATCAATGTCCTAAATATTTTTCAGAAATAGTGATCCACATATTTAAGTATAATGAAGATTCAATGACCACTGACATATTGATATTTGAATTCAACTTCCAAAACGGTTAACCAAAGATAATTTAGTATGTTCATACTTCAGCCCATATTTTCAGTATGTGTGTGTATATATATATACACACATACACACACACACACATAAATACACACACATATATATACACACACACTAAATTCAAAACACACTGAACCACAATGCAAAAAAATACTTAAAATTATTTCAGAACCGATCATTAGAATGGAAAAATGGATTTCCATAGAAGGCATAAAATAAAAAGATGGACTAATTACTGTACAATCCAAGGACAACTTCCTTATTTGAAATGAATGACATTTAAAATTGACAAGTTAGAGTTCAAAATACCAGATTTGGAAAACAGCAAGTCTACAGGCTAACCTCACTGTAAACTCTAAAGCAAATGATATTTTACTAGTTATGTTCCAGCAAAAATTAAATACAAGGTGACAAAATACAGGAAAAAATGCTAATTTTTGATTAAAATATACTAGATATACAGAGAACTTCTTTTACTGCCATATCTAAAATGTGAAATTCTGAAGAAAAAAAAAGAATCCGAACTGAATCAAAATATATTTTCCAAAGGAAAAAAAAGTCCTCTCCTGTCAGTTATGTCTATTTTTAAATTTTCCAAATGCTCAAGTTTTCAAAAACACTGGCATCTTCTTTAAAAGTGTGGCCAATGAGCCCATGCATTTTATTGATGTAGTAATCCCTAGATATAAAAGGTTATCAACAGGATTACTTCAGAGCTAAATCAGTGTGCACCAATGAGTGCTAAAACTATTTTAGAAGAAGAAAGTCAAAATAAAATCAATCAGGTAACTTGCTAACAAGAGCTCAAAATGCCTAGGAGAGATGGGGACTTCAGGATTATAAGAGTACTAAGAAACAGTAAATTTAGGCAAAGAAATTCAAAGCTAATCTAATCCTGACACAGAAACTATCTAGTTTCCATTTCATTTATACCTTACATTTACCATGAATAGGAGACTAATTACAGAGCTGAGTTTCTCTAAATCAAATCTATTTTAAATTCATCTCAAAGACTATTTTTAAGGGATCCTGTAAAGGAGAAAAAGGAGGGGAGTCTGTTTTACTTTCTCCAAATAAATCATACACTGTAACAAATTATAGAGGGCCTTCAAATGTATTACAATAGAGATTATTAAAATTAACTATGAAAATTTATACTAAACTGCAAATTTCAGGGATTCAACAACCAAAGATCCAAAAAACTCACCTGCAGTGAATTTTACTTAAAAAGTAAAAAGAAGGGCCTAAAGACCTCCCTCCTTTTTTTCCCTGATTTAAGATGGCGAGGCATTTCTTTCTCTTGAGTAGGTGGTTTGCGAGTTTGTTTTATTTCAGGTAAGTTTATTTGAGACGTGAGAAAAGGTTAAAGGATTTAAATGGCAGAAAAAAGAATTACACAGTAGGTATAACACACACACAAAAACAAAATCTAGGGATAAGATAGCAGAGCTACTATTATTAACAGATAATACAAATTCCTCTAACCAGATTAGAGAACCATCAAAAATACTTAATGAGAAATTACTGTGGAAAGGAGAATACTTTTTCACGGTAAAATTAGTTAAAATAGTAAATGCAATAAAAAGATGCATTCTTAAAACCACTTTAATATAACTGGTTTATAACAGAAGTTAAGTTTTATAAAATAACAAAATAGCATAGGCACACACCTTTAACATATTAAAAAGAATACTTTTTTAGAGATAAGGCAAAACTGGTAACTAAAACTAGTGTCTTGTTAAAATGTAATCTCTGTTAACCAGAAAATAAGAAATTTATTTCAGCTCTAGGAAGTGAAGGTTATATGTAAAAGAAGACTCAAGAACTTGGGTTATATAAATTAGTGTAACTTCAACAACACTAAAGAGAATGGAATAAATGAGAAGAGTAATAGTGGGGGAAAAAAATCAAGGTTTTATTATTCCTGCCCTATGATTTAGACAAGCCTATCATAACTCTCCAAACATACTTCTATTATATTAAACTTGTGGGTTTTCTAACATACATATATTTCCATTCATAATTTATAATTTCTATTCATATTTGAAATCCTAATTATCATTCACATCTTAAACAGCTCTAAGTGTACATTTGAGAGGGGGGAAAAATCAATGTTTACATAAGTCAAATACCAAACATTCATGCCGTGAGAATTTATCAATAGTTTTGGGTTCTCACACACTTAAATTTACACTGCAACTTTTACACCCAAAACAACCAAGTGCATTTAGTGAGTTCTTCAAACTGGGACCACCCCCAACATCTGGATATGACCCCTGCCTATACTCTCCAGAGAGAAGTATATGAGAAAGTCCTGATCTTTAGCTTGAAAAGCACTGTTGTAGTTATTAGCATTATATTTTAACTGAAATAATAACTAATGCTTCAATTCACAGATCCCAACCAAAATGATAGAATATGTCCCATTTTACAAATGACGGATAAAGTTTTGTTTTTTAACAAATGAAGCAATTTTTTTCTTAAATTTGGCTGTGCCAGGTCCTAGTTGGGGCATGAGAACTCTGCGTTGCAGCATGCGAACCCTTGGTTGCAGCATGCGAACCCTAGGTTGCGGCATACAAACTCTTGGTTGCAGCATGTAGGATCTAGTTCCTCGACTAGGGATTAACTCAGGCCCCCTGCATTGGGAGTTCAGAATCTTAACCACTGGACCACCAGGGAAGTTCCACAAATTTTGATGACGTTTCTAGTTTATAACTTTATGCTTTCCTACTATCATATTATTTCATGGAAACTGTTCCTTTTAAAGTATAATTCAGTATTTAATAGTCTGTTGGACTCCACTACAAACAAGAGTACTTATTAAGAACACAATAAATTAGTCCCATGAATTAAGAGACTAATTTAATAAACAATACAACAAAAAAAATTTCAGCCATTAATTTTTTTATTAGAATGACAGGAAGAGGTTTATGCTTAATAAAAACACAACACAAAATATTATGTACTATTTCATTGCAAACCTTCCAAAAGATCTGTTGAAAAAAGTTATCTTAAGGTGATGTAATGAATGATTGAGAAATCACCACTATTTCTGAATGCTGGTCAGGCTTTTTAAAAACATACAATAAACTCATAAAACCATAAACAGCCTTCCACAGTGCTACTGCTTGTAATGAGCTCCATTTGCTTTACCACTTAGTGGCTTCATAAGCTGCTCTCAGTAATCTTTCTACTCTCTGAATGAAATATAAATGAACTGGTAAAAGTTTCTTAACAGCTTTATTTAGATATAATCAACATAGAATAAATCACACTTATTTCAGGGTAAACTCTGTTAACTCTTGACGTAGGTGGACCACCATGAAACCATTACCCAAATCAAAGAGGACTACATCCATCATGCCCCAAAGTTCCCATAAGTCCGTATGAAACCGATCCCTCCTGTTCCTCTCTGTTCTGCTGCTCTGGACTCCAGGCAACCTCTGATAAGCTTTTTGTCATGATAGACTAGTCTGTATGTTCTATAATTTAATATGAATGAATCTTACATATGTACATATGTACTCGGTTTTTTACTAGCTTCTTTCACTTCGCATCATTAACATTTATCCTTTTAATGCTTTCTTTGCATTTAATTTGTTCCTCTCTTTCTAGTTTCTTAAGTGGAGATCACTCTTTTGAGAACCTTTCCAACACAGGCATTTAGTGCTATAAATTTCCCTCCCATTACCACTTCAGTGACATTTCACACCAGTTGGCATGTTTTTATTTTCATTCAGTTCAAAACACTTTAAAACTTCCCTTCCTGATTCTTCTTTGACACATGTCAAAGAAGTGTGTTATTCAGTCTCTGGATACTTGAAGAGTCTCCAAAGATCTGTTGGTGGTGGTGGTGGTTTAGTCATTAAGTCATGTCCGACTCTTGGGACCCCATGGACTGTAGCCCGCCAGGCTCCTCTCTCCATGAGATTCTCCAGGCAAGAATACTGGAGTGGGCTGCCATTTCCTTCTCCAGGGGATCTTCCCAACCCAGGAAATGAACCCAGGTCTCCTGCATTGCAGGTAGATTATTTCCCAACTGAGCTATAAGGGAAGCCCCCAAAGATCTGTAACTGGCTTCTAATTTTATTCCATTGTGGTCAGAGA